CACTCCGGGGCACTGCGTGCGTGCAGCTGGAAATGTAAATATGGGAGACTGGGAATTGCAGAGTGTGGTGAAACCCTGACCACCTCTGCTCATAGCCCAGACGGATCCTTCTCGGTCATGACACCAGGCTCGAGGTGCAGCGCTGTTTACAGAGGCACTGCGGATGGCACACGAGAGGAGAGGGACAGGCACTCTTGTGCTAAAATAATTATGGTCAAAGCCCAAAAGAAACGAAGTAGGAAAGCCTCGAACGCTCATATGACAAGGTGTTTTTCAAGAAAACTATAAACTGATTGAGGTTAGCAAGTTAAGAATCAGTCCCCGTATTGCTGGAATGTTTGGGATGGGTAACATGGATAACCTATGGATTGCTGGCCCCGTTCCGTTTCAGTGTGCCTGTACTGGACGGGCAGTGGCTGTGTCACCGCGGGGCTCACCGTGCCTGGGCTGGAGCCACACCAGAGCACACAGCCCCTGTCACCCGTGTGCCAGAGCAGCTGGAGCTGTGCTGCAGAGCAGCCTCGTGTGAGCCGAGGGCAGCGCCCTGGGCGGGCACGTTCCCGCTCCGCGTGCCCATCCAGCCCGCCCGCCGCGTTCCCCTGCCCTTAATCACAGCTTGGCATCGCAGCCCAGACTGTCTGGCCTTTCTGAGGGAAACACAGGTTAACCACAGGTCTGAGTAACCCAAACTGGGTAGGATCCCAAAGTAGGAATGGTGGAAAGGGACCTGCTACCGGGCGGCAGAATTCCCGTTCCCAGGCTCCCTGCAATATTCATTCATGCACGTGTGTGTTTAGGTGGCACAATTAACTGCAGGAGGGTTCTTGGGGTTGAGATGCAGCAGTCAACACATGGAAATGTGCAGTTTTACCCAGTCATTCCTGGCAGTTGGGTTCATTTCTTTGTGTTACAGCTCAGGGCAGCTGCAGATGGTTTGAGCTACTCTCGGCAGAACAGGGAGAGCAGGAATGACTGAAGTCTGTTTGAAAAGGTGATGTCACCAGTCTGTATGTCCATGGTGCTTCTTAGGGAAACACATGCTTCCATGTTACCCTTAACATCAAAACACCCAATTGTTGTCTTTTGAGTTCTTAACATTTGAAACTGTTGAGTGCCATTAATCAATGCTGTGGGTTTGAAACGATTACAGCATCTGCTGGCTATTATTAAGATAAAATGAAATTCTTAGGATTCCACATTTTTTGTTAAATTGCCAAGTCTATTGTGAGATCTCAGCATACCTGACACATTTTTATTGGCAACCAACCCTGTAATGCAATACTGTATTTTACTGGCGGGATTATACACTGCAACTTCCAAGGCTGTTAGTGGTCCAGGCTTTTTAAGCTTTCCCTTGGAACAGCCATAACTGGAGTTGAGAAAACTGACTTTGGAATTATCTGTTATTTCTATGTGCAGTTTAAATAAACCCTGACCACATAAGAAGAGCCATCAACATCCTTTTCTTATGTGTCTGATGGGATTATTCCCATGTCCAGGCTGAGTCTGTGGATGTTGTCGGGGCAGGTTATGCCCAGACATTCCTCTTGTGGCTGTTTTGATAAGGCAGTTCTTTTTGCCAACCTATAATGTTCTGGTTTCCATTCAAAACTATCTCCTTAACAGGTACTCAAACTCTTACAATGCAATTGTAAGGACAGAATTTAACTTTTCAGCACGTTTTTTTTTTAGGCAGCACTTTCAAGGGGTAGGTTTTAAAATCAGCATCTAGGTGAATTAACAGTCTTACAGGTAACAGAAAAGTTGCTGTATTTTAAGAATACCATGGAATTTCATCTAAAAGTGCTTTGTAGATAAAGCCATCAATATCCTTACATTTATTAAAAATAATAATATTTTTGTCCAAAGGCTTATTTTAGCTAGGTCCTTGTCGGTTTGTCAGTACCAGCAAGAAAGAAAAATCAAAATAGCTTGATTGTAATCTAGCCCGATTCTTATCACCTAAGTTTTACTGAGAAGTAATACACCCAAGCCATTGTACTCCATCAGGAGAATTCAAGGAAATTATATAATTGCTCAGACAAAACTGACTCCCGTGAAAAGTATTTACATTCATATTTGTATTTCTAATGTTCTGATATAGCAGCTGAAAATTCTATGAGCTAGCCCCTCACATGAGCGGGTGTTTGTTAATCATACAAGTAGCACCTTTTTTAACAGTGTGTTGGTTTAGTCATCCAGCCTTTTTTTGTCCTACATTGCTCAAAGGAGCAGTGGAAGCAAGTCCATCATCTGTCTCAAGGGCTGGTGCAGAGCATCAGTACCGCTCTTCCCAGGTGTCTCCCAAACATCCTGGAAAATGGACCTTCCTCACCCTAAAAAATTCTTCCCCTTTTCAACGTGCTTAATATGGACACAGACAGCCCAGCGTTTGTTTCTGTATTCTATGATGCTTTGTATCTCTGCTGCTCATAACAAACACACACATTTCCCAAATGCAATATACAACTCTCACTTCCATTGTTTTTCCCGGGTGAAGAAGAGCCAAGTCATCCCATTCCCGCTGCGGTCACAGCAGCGCTCCCACCTAGAGACACCCTGACACTGTGTGCCTGGGAGAATTCTAAGAGTCTTAAAATCCCATGGGTCCAGGTGTTTTATGTGGCACTAAGGTGGTAGAGGAGGGACGATTTATGGAAAAATACAAAAAAAAAAAAAAAAAAAAAACAGCCACAAACCTCCTGCTCTTTGGGTGAGGATTGCCCCGGCCGCGGCGCCGCGCACAGCGAGGGGTTGGCTTCTCAGCTAATAAAACCCGCTGGTTGGGTTTCTAATCTCAATAATTTCTGCTCATTGGCTCCAATCAGCGGATTAAAGCCCAGTCTCCGAGCAGTTCTCATTTTAACTCCAGACTGGGGGGAAAGCAGGGGAAATGGGAGGTACCAGACACTGAGCGCTTTGGGTTTTCTTATTTATTTTGGTGTTTGCCAAGTTGACACAACTGAGCGATGTCCTCCTCCACAGCTGGTACTGGAGCTGCATGGAGTAAATTTACTGAACCTTTTAGGATGAAATCAGCTGTCCAGCCTCATCCTCTTACAGCCACCAGTAAAACAAATCTATTAGAACACCACCCCATCTCAAGCTAGACATCAGCTGCCTCGGTAACAAATCTCTGCTTTTATAAACACTTTGAGGTTTTCTGTCCTCAAATTCTTTTAATTTCCCCCTCCCCACATTCCCCAAATTAAATTCTCCAGCCAGATCATACTTCTGCCTTCCAGACCCAGGGCAGCTGAAAAGTAACCATATGGACTTCATGATTTTATGTACTGCGACAATAAAGCTTTTATGACATTCTAGGTGGTTAAAAATGGCAGTCAGGAGCTCTTAAACATGGCACAGGCATGTTGCTGTTCTGAACCGACAGACCTGCCAACAGTGCATCAAAAGCTGTAATTTCCTGTGCAGTGAAGCCCCTATCTCTGCTGCCTCCAGCTTTGTGTCCCAGGGCTTGTGCCTGTGTGCTAACAAATCTCTATTGTCCAGCGGGGCGAATAGTGGCTGGGACCAAAGAATTGCTGTCTGGTTTCTATTCAAATCCAGGTAGTCAGAGATATGAATGGAGTTTCTCGAACAGCCATGTGAATAACCTCTGCTCTGCGTGGAGCTGCAGGCGCTGCCCGGCTGCTCTGCACCGCGGCTGCGGGGAGCACACCGCTTGGAAACACACTTTTAATGCTCCTCGTGGCTTTTAATACTTATTAACTCTCAAAATCTGCTATCTCGCATTCCTGGACAAAAGAAGGAGGGTAAATCATCCCCTCCTCAACTTTCTGAACTTGTGGAGGAATTCTACTCAGAGCTTTCATAATGGGCTGGTTTTGCTGAGAAAACGATAGGAAAAGTTTATGAAAATTATTTTCTTAGACAATGCCAGATTTTTAAGTGTACATTGACCACCTTTTATCGTGCACAGAGCCCAAGTGTCACAGCTAATCACTGCAGAGGGTCTGGGGGAAAACAAGTTAAATTTTTTTTAGATATCTTATACAGAGCCCATTGTGAGCGTCACAGTAAATCACTGCAGATGGTCTGGAGGGGCAAAGACGTTAGATTTCTTCTAGATGTTGTATACGGAGTCCATTGCAAGCGTCACAGTTAATCACTGCCGACAGTCTGAGAGCAAACGTGTTAAATTTCTTTTAGAACAAGTTATGATAAGAAAAATATCGGGTATGACAGAGCAAGAATTGGAGGAATACTGCACGTGGGGGCTCATTTTATTGCAGTTTTTTTGTATTTTCGGTGGTTTTGGTAATTAACGTGAGGCTGATGGAATCGAGCCCCGCGCGGCCACAGATCGAGACCCTCGACACCGGGGCTGTCTCACCCCCCTCCCACCACCACAACCGTCGCTAAGCTGTCGCCGGTCGCGATAGTGCCCGCGGGCGGGGCGGCCGAGCGCTCGCCCCCGCAGGTGCCACCGGGGCCAGACAAAAGGGGGTCCGGGGGCTCGTCTCCCTCTCGCCGTCCCCGCCCGGGGCTCGGCGGTGCCGGGCGCTGCCGCCGCGGGGCGGGGACGGCGTGTCTGGGGCTGCCCCCCTCCTTTGTGTCCCCGTCTGGCTCAGTTCCTCCCCGCCAGCCCTCGGGCGACACGCGTGTCTGGTTACCGACCCGCACCCGCGAGCAACTTCGGCGCCGCGGAATCGCTCGAGTTTCTGCTTCTTCACCGGGGGAGGAGGGAATAAAGGGGGGGTGCTGCCTGTTCCCCCCTCCCCCGGTACCGGCGGGGAGCGGCTGCTCCAGCTGCGTTACATTAGCGGATATAACATATATATTTATGTACACATATTAAAAAAAAAAAAAAAAAAAAGCGCTTCTGTTGGAGAACAAAGGAGCACGTGCAGAAATGAGACTGGAAGAATAAAATATAAATAATAAAAAAAAAAAGCCCCGGCGGCGGGTCGGGGCGCAGCGCGACCCCCGCCCCCCCGGCGGCTCCCCCCGGCCCGGCGGCACTCGGATTAACGCCTTACCTGGCGGGGCGCTCCCGGGCACGGCTCGGCGCTGGGCTGGCTCTCCCCCAAGTTGCGGGCGGCCCGGCGGCTGCCGAGGCGGAGCGGCGGCCCCGTCGCGGTGCGGGCGGGGCGGGA